GGGGGCGCAAGAAAAGAGAGACCCGGTGAGGAGGTACCTCAATACTCTTCTGACCGGTGTGAATCAAAAGGGGCAAAGGGGCGAATGTGCTTTTATCACTAAAGTGCCCTTGAATCAGCTTCTTTTAATGATAAAAGAGAAGTTCATTACGAAAGTCTGACAAATAGGGCAATCTTATCATAACGCAACTTCTTACGGGTCAGCATGTAAGCTAACATTTTCCCAGTTGCTAACGCAAAAGTTTCGAATAATGAGTTACGAAGGAATTAGCAAACTGGGAATTATCTAAAAAATGCCCTTTTATTGGAAGCTGCCCACCTGGTTCTTGTTGGTTCAGATAATATTACTTACTAGTATTTCTTTCGTTTATAGCCTCAACAGGCTTTTTCTTGTCGTGATCGACTCAAGATTCCGATAAGCGTTTGAGAACATCGTATGCAATTTCCCGGTTCTCGGAAATCGTCCGTAATCAATACCTCCGGTGACGTCTCTCCTCTTGCAGCAATATCATTGGTTTCGCTGCGTAGGTAAGTTGAAATTGGGGTTTGGGTGTAATCCCCGCGTCGATTAATGCGATACGCTCCGCATTCTCTCACCGCCAGGAGCATTCTGTAGCATTGGGGAACCTATCAGAAAGGATAAAGTTTATAAGAAATTCTTTCCCACCAAATTGGTTAAACTTCACACTGACATTAAACAGAAAGATATTGCATCAAAATTAATAAATTTAGTTCATTATATTTCATTTACAAGATATGAACTATTTTATTTGTTTTACAGAATATTGCAGTTCCGTGTCATACATGTGGCTCAATGCGTGACAGGCAGAGCTGTCAACTCCTATCGGTGTATAAGAACAGAGAAGGTTTTTAAAGACTCATTGCTAACAAATTCGAAGCCATTGCGCTACGGTGCGAACCCATGCAATCCATAGATAAATGATTCTTATTAACAGTGCCGCACTGTCTGAATATCAATTTTTGGCATGAATCTGCCCCCCCCCCCATTAGGAGTAAACATAAAATTTTCTCATCTGAACTTTTGTAATGTACCCTGACTGTTTATTGCTCCTTCACAGGAGACAGACGTTGATGCTGTTGTCAACTTTGAAACTACGAAAGAGGAGCTTGCTCAAGAAATCCGTGCCACTGCGGAGGAACAAAGAATTGGTAAGTTATATTTATATTGTGTGGAAGTATGCAAACAATTATATGTAATGAGGTCTGGTGACTTGCTATCGGAGAAACACCACGTCTATTTCCTGACCGCGTTTTGATAAAGAGATTCGATATCCAAATGAATGTGAAAATGCGAGGCTGATGACGTCATAATACCAGAGTAGTGCTTATTTCAACAAGGTTGAAAAGAATGGCTCGGCATATATGAGGGACCGTATTTTGATTGCATGAGACAAAACTGGGGTATACCCTTTCAGATGGCCTCGCCTATGATGACGTCATTGTAGTCTTACACATGCTCTCTCTTACCAACTAACCTCCTTTCGTTCAAGTTACCATCCCGTTTAATTCTCAGTTTCGACTACGCCCTACTCACGGGGGCGGTAATTTTATCTGCATGTTACACTACAACACCCACTCTCAATTCTTAAAGTTCAACCCCCATATTTCTAAACACTAGACATCAGCTTCTGTGTTCTTCTTGCTGTTCCAACTAAAAGTTAGATTAGATTTTCGTGTAGGTTTGTTTGTACAGGTCCACCACAATTAAAACATTCATTCATTCCCGAGTCAGTAAAAAATTTGACCTCTTTGAGAATCTAAAGACCGTCATGATTTTCAGTTTCTTTTCATTTTCAAAATAAAGCTTGAAACATTGTTTTTGTTCATCTGATGTTTGTTTTTTCACAAGATTGAAAAATATTTCTTCATCCTATAAAAATTTGTTTTGTTTGCGTATTTTTCCATGATTGTTTTGTAATTGTTTTGTTCAATATTGTTTTGTAATTGTTTTGTTTGTTGACACAAGATCTTTGGTCTTAAAATGATTTGCAAGGCTCAAGAAATCAGCCATTTATAATAAAAAATTGTTTCAAATTTGGCACCTGTTAAAACCAAAAATGTTCTGGTCTGTGATTTCTTCGCTGATGAAAAACGAACGCACCGAGAAACTGAATTTTTATTTTCAATAGAAGTTACTGAGTTTTGTAAAAGAATCACCCCCACTTCTTTATGTGTCGCTGAACCTACATAGCAGGAGTACAACCCCATGTGAGCCACTTAGCAGAGTAAAGCCGATGTGACAAGATCTTATAAGCGCCAACTGCCCGAACCTCAGATGCTGGTGCGCTAAAACCATGACTCAAAGTGCCTGGCGCGCTTGCACTATTATATCTTCTAGTATATTATAGTTTAATTGGTCTGTTTTTTAGGTGCACCCTTAGCGCTACCAACTTTGTATCTCGGGTGCGCCATTGCTGTGCTCTTGCACAGTGGGATGAGAGCTGGGGTTTCCTTTAGTTTAAAACATTAACCTCTCTGCTTTTTGCCAAGTCTGTCCCAAAAGCGACCCACTAGAGACTCTGTTTTCTTTTATTTGCCCACAAGAAACTTGCAAATATTGAATTCAGGTTTCTTCCAGTGTGTTTCTATTTTCCGTATTTTATCTGTTAAAATATATATCATGTTTCCCTTCCGTGTTTGATCTTCACACACCACTGATCTGGTGGCAAACATAAAACACGGAACAGTGAAACCTGAAATTATATATTGTGACATCTGGGATCTTTTCTCCTTTAGTATTTCGTTCAGTTCGTTTTACTGAAGCTTGAGTTTTCAAATACGACATTATCATTCTTCTGCCAACATTACTATCCTTGAACATAAAGAGGTTTTATGACTGAGCACGTAATCTCCGTTGTAACCCCTTGTAACCATTTGTTACTATAACGATTGATCTGGGCTAAATAGACAACTTAAACCTCTCTTAACTTTGAAGGTATGACACGGACTAACATACGGATGAATCAACAGCAAATTTCGTTAGTTCTTAAACCCCCCCCCCCCCCTCCCTCCCTTCCGTTAACATCTTTCTTGCAGTCCAGTATTCCGTGCCCGATTCCAGTTCCGAAGTTTATACCCGCACACAATGAGAATCAGAACACCGCATTAGTCATTTAAAATCAATAAGGGTTTTGTATTTGATTTTCAAAACATTGAGCATCGGACAGGAAACTGCTAAAACCTGTACTTACATACCAGTGCGTGTTGTATGATCTACTGTTCAGTTCGATCCCTGCATTTGTGGACGTACGATCAAGTTTAACGCTGCTCGCAACTGTTACGCGATGCTGTCGACTCGCACGTATGGTATTATGGTTTATGCAAGTCGTGGGTACCTCAATCTTACTGAAATGCCAGGTACGATTTCACTGTGACGTAACAGAAACATGATAGGATGTGTGACTTTTATGCAATTTTATGTTAAAGGGTTTCTTTAAAATATATTCATTATGTCCGAAGAATCCTTTCTGGAACCCATGCCAAGTGGAGTGGTCCTTTTAAAAAAGTACGAGATTTTCCCCCAAAACGAAAGGATTTCTAGAGGATGTACTGAAGTTTTCACTAACGTTGTACGGGATTGTAGATGGGGCGATTTGCCCTTTGTCCCAAATAGAACGATTGGCTTTCTTTGGTTAGTAAACACACTGAGCTTGGCAAATTACATTATTTTATTCGATATAGAATTGCTCCAAGCAACTTGTTATAAAAAGTTAATGAAGTGTCCATTTCGTTCCTGATTGCGTGCTATGACTGCCGTTTTCCGGAAAATATCTGTGAAAATTCAGCGATGAACCTTTTTAGGGTTAACTCTTTCAATCTGTAGGATATCACGAAATAATCTGGGATATTTTGGATAATCCGTGAGCAATTTCCTTTGCGTCGTCCTCGTGGCTAAACCTGTCTGCTGCCTCTTCTTTGAAGCTCACAAGTCTCTACATTTAACCCCCCCCACCCCACTTCTACCTCTGATCCAGGTATGTAGAGCTAGGGGGCTCAGAAAGGCTTGTTAATGCCGATTAAATTGACAGATTTCTACTTTTGCCATTGTTTTTTGCAACATTTTGTGCAAGAGCCCCCCTTGTTATTTTGATAGCGCGACACCACTGCTCGGATCCCAAAACTACTTTCCATTTTATATGCAAGGAGATTTTCATATTATATGACAAACCATAAAGAAAAAGCCGATTGAGTGCGTCAAGGTTCAGCTGTGTATGCATAAGGCCCGATGTTCGATTCGTTAAAATGCATCAACTCTTAATATCGTATGATTCCTTAGAAAAAAATCTCGGTTTTTTAAAGACTGTTAAATCACAGAAATTTATTGCTGCCCGCCCCCACATAGCTCAATTTGGTCCAACCCCTTCATCTAATCTATCCCGTTACCCTTTGGTCCCTTCATATTCATACCTCACTAATCCTTCCCAAGTCGCTCCCCCTTTACTCCTTCGTATATACCTGCTCCTCCTTACACATTTTTGTTGTCGCCATTGCATCAAAGTTTTGGAATTCAAAACACGCTACTTAAAACGAATCACCATTTGCTTAAAAGATTTTTTATTGTATCTGTTAATGGTTATAATTTTGTCAAAGCGTAGGCTTTGGTTAGAAAACGGTCAATAAATCATCTGCACGAACCAATATTGTTTAATGGCTTGAACTGTTTAAAAATCGGCCTAAATTGACGACGTTTCTGTCTGTCTTCTACCGAAACACCCATGACTGTTTGTCTCATGTTCCCTTATGATTCTGAAAGATGCCCCCATTTGACCAAACAGTTCCTGTCTTACTTCCCCTATCAAATCTCGTCCCTCATTTTAAATTCACCCGCTTTCAAATAAGCCCCTTTTCTTAAGAGAAGCTTCTGCCTTCCTGGTCCGTTCATGCGAAAAATTCAGCATTTCTCACCAGCGGCAAAGAACATGACGTCGCTTTAAAATTCACCCGCTTTCAAATAGGCCCCTTTTCATAAGAGAGGTTTCTGCCTTCCTTACCTGTTTATAAGAGAAATTCAGCATTTCACTAGCGGCAGAAAAACATGACATCATCTTTGCTTTTATGTTTTTTCTTACATGCAAAGATTAATTTATAATTTTTCATGAATACGGCATTGAAAATTCCATGGCGATTTGAATTGTGACGTAATTCTCCGAAAATCTCATTGATTTCCTGTTTAAATTCGCACGCCCATCATAATTTTAATTACGAATAATGCATGCTACTTGTTTTCGACAATGCAACTGACCAATTGCTCAATAATGGGTTGTAAAGTTGTCTCTTCCATCTTCATCTTTCCTCGAATTCATGGAAAATCTCATTTTTAGAAGAGTTCTCTCTCCGATTCCTGACAAAACTCCTCTCAGCCAACTGCTATATTTCCATCTGACCGCAAGGGGCACTTTATCCTTGATTTATTTTTTTCTTGATTATAAGTTCTAAGATTTTGAAGAACAGTCTCTATTTTGTTTTATGTTGATTTATGTCTTTGTTGTATCTCTTAATATTTTCTTCATTTCATGCTGTGACGATTCGGAAATGCAAGGTTGATAAATTTTCTTCTAAGCAAAAAGATAATATATCCAAGCAAAAAATTGAATTAGCCGAGTTGCCCCCATTTTACCTCCCCCGGGCAAGTTTCTGCCTCGGATCAGTGCGGATATCTATTTAATACAGGGAATTAGATTTTGATAACGAGGCATCCAGCCACCGTGGGAATCTACGATTTTTTAGCGACTTTAAAAACCTTCCTTTGTTATGGAATACTTATTAATTTGACTTTTAATTTCTCTGGTTTGTAAGTTGAATGGTCTTAAACGTTGTTCCAATTGTCATCGTTTGACACGGGATCGGCCGTGTCAAGGAGTGGAAGTCGCTTGCCAATGGTTTTCTTTTCATCACAAAGCTTTGAGCCTAACTTTAGCATGCTTCTTCTGGTATATGACATTTAGTTTGAATGTCTGCATAGTTACTTGACCCAATTGATCGAAAGTAAAACGACTTTTGGCGTATGACAAACAGATTATCTGCCTCCTTGATAGTCTTTCAATTCATTATACGACCTGTTAAAACTTATAGTCCCCTTATTTGGTGCAGCGGTCGCCTTATTTGGTTTCAGGATCTCATGTGATGTATAGACGTCTAGTCTCCCTGAAAGGTTTTCAAAATTTGGATGTCCTTATTAGGTTCTAGTGCATCCGTATACAGTATAGACATGTCTATATTGGGTATGGTATTAGATAATATCTCCATATTTCTAATCGTGTTTCCTTATTTGGTAGGTTATCCTTTATAATAGGTGCTGTAAGGTCCTTATTTAGAATGGTAATTCCCTTATTAGTTTCTTAAAAGACCTTTTATGGCATGTACAGTATTACCACATCATTGCCCCTATATATGGGGTGATGGTCGTAGCATTCCTGGTCCAGCTCTCCGAACACAGGGCCTAGGTGGTAGGACAGTTACCTGTTCAATTTGAACACAGTCGTAAAATTTACGAACTGGACACTTTCGTAAAAACATTCCAACTGGGCACTTTCGCATAAACCTAGGCGAACATTCAACCTTGACAAATTCTTAAGAGTATTGCAGTTGGAAAAATTCGTATCCCAACTGGACACTTTAACCGGACACTGGAACCGGACAAATTACCAAACTAGACAAATATTCGTTATTATTCCAACTGGACTTATATGTAATTATCTTCCAACTGGACACATTCGTAAAATATTTCCAACTGGACACATTCGTATCTCCATCTCTTCGAAGTTTTAAGGCTGTAATCCGTCTGGCTGTATTGTGGGTTCACTGGACTCTGTCTCGAAACGGGTTAATCTTAAAGCTGTTTTCGAACATCAACTTCGGATTAAGCTGTTCTGAAACCCTTTAATATGGACACAAAGCGATACAATTCCTTCATCCCAAGTTCCTTAATTTGATTACGACATAAGCCCTTAAAAGATCAGGGCTTTATTTTACTCAATGTAGCAACGCCTCGTATACGCAGGCAGTACATCTCATATGTTTCTTGCTTTCACACTACTGTGCCTAGAATTGGCTTGATAATCAGGAATACAACAACGACAGAAGTCTTATAGCTGTTGGTGAATATATTTTTCGATTATTCGTTTCGACAATTCGCGGAATTCGTAAATACGACGCTTGCGCAACGTCGACACGACCTTTCACTTTAAGGAAAGTACAGTTTTGCGATCTTTTGGTTGTCTTCGAATACTTTGTTACGACGTTAGGAAAATATTGGAAATTGATGCGATGGGGTTGTAGCATCATTCAAATTTGTTCCGATTCCCACGATGTCTTGTTACTTGCGTGACCAGAATATACATGATCTCCAATTGTGATTAAATCCAACAGAAGATTTAAAATTCGGAATTCAGCTGAAGTCATTCGTGTATTCGACCGATTTTCACACGTGTTTTTTGCAACGGAAAACGATAGTTTTCATGGGGATGACTTCACACAGTTGCAACTTCCAAACCTGCCTTCTTTTTTGGTGACAAGCAAAACATCGAAGTTGGCAGTGATTCGAAACTAGATTAAACGAAAGTTACTACCAATAATTTTGCAATAGTTACTACCAATTCTGCAAAAGTTTTGTCTTTTTATTCAACAAAAACCCTGCGTGGAATTCGTTGTCAATTGGAATTTGTGTGCCTCAAGATCTTCGCTTGGAGCTTTTGCCAACCATCGGTTTTTGCCATATATTGCCAGGCTGCTGTGACGCAAACTTTGGAGGTCTTTTTATAACAAAAAGTTTGTGTGGAATCACCTTTTATTACTATCGTTTGCAGTGTAGCCGAGTTGGGAGGTCTTTTGGTTCTTGTCCCAGTTAGTTCTTTTGCTTTGTATCTTTACAAAACATTGGTTTTTGCCAAACATTGCAATTCTGTTGAAGTGTTGGCACTTCTTTTGTAAAATTCTGGTTGTGTTGTTACAATCTATCCTTTTTTCTTCTGGAAATCCGTTTTGCCACCTATAAACTTCATTATCCGGAATTTTCACCAATAAAGATCATGGAACACATATAATGTTGTGTTCAGTCAAGATCTGTTAAAATTGTCGCCTACAGAAATTGCAAAAACCAGTTTTCTAAACCTCCACTACGCGTTAATTCCTTTGCCTACAATATGGATGGTTTCCTGAGCTGTTAATAAAAAAGGACCTTATTTTCGCTGGATACATTCACTCAGTACTTGATAGAGATAATTTCTGTGGGATCGGTTCAAAGTGAACATAATCGTCAGCGTTTTGATTTTTGAATGCAAAACTTGGCTCTTTTTGAATCAATTATTTTCAATGGTCTTGCCAGAGTCATAGGTCCAAATTCTGTAGCAATATTCTGCCCGGCCCATGTGCTATGGTGCTGCGCTTGCCCTATTCGTTTACAGTTTGCCTCAGGTCAGAGACTGTTTGTACCTCTGTGTTAATGGACTCCCAAGCGACACGAAAACATTGTTATCTCGAAACTTAAATATGCAGCGCCCTTTAATAAGGTCGTAAATCCCTTGTTTGAGGTTAAAGTAAAAACTTTTCAGATTTTATCCGCTTTTGGACAACATTGTGTACCTCCCTATTCTCAAGTGGATAAATTTGTTGAAATATTGAATGGACATTTTAAGTCTCTAAATGAATGAACTAAGAAGCAATTAACCGAGGATTTAATAACATTTTCAAAAAACACACTACTTAAATCGGGTAATCCATCCACTGAAGCGGAGGTTGAAGCTCGTTCGAGTCTCGTCGTTTCTTGCCGAAAACACAGCCGCTTACTGCTTCTTCAAGTCCTGGAATTATCGAAGGCTTTACTGTTATATTTCATATGAATTACGAACTTCGATGCTGATTTCGACGCTCGATTCCTCTCGAAATTGTTTCGCGTTCGACTGCCATCCAAACATCGTTTTACGTCGCGCTCAAATCGAACCCTTGGCCACATGCTCTGGTGTGTATCGTGGATGAAATTTGCCAACTGCCTCGTGAACTCATTTCACCATAAAGCCATTAATTGATCGCTAGTGGAGCAATTGAGAATTTTTGGTACATCTATGGGTTATTTTGTTGGCGAAATGCGGCAATAAATTGCGATGGTCGTGTTACTCTAATACAAATTAGTTCATTTTTGCGTTTATGTGGATCGTGTGGTTTATACATTGAGTGAAATTGGCGTTTAATATTCGCACCAAACTGGGCCTAAAGTCACTCTCAAGGTGGTCCAATTATTAAAGTTCCAGTCCAGCACGTGACCATTGATTGGCCAATGTGATTTGTGCCTTATTTTCGATTCATCACAAATTTGACTACGGGTGTTGAGTAATCGATTATTCGATCCTGAAATGTGATTATCATGTTGTCCATATGATCGCTGAATCATCTCACAAGAACATTTCAATCGCTTAATCGCTTCATGGTTAATCGCGTTATCGACTAGCGATTATTTACAATCAGAGAGATTCGTCTTTCTCCTGTACTTTGACGTCATCAAGATGGCGGGAAATCCTATTGGGCACATCGTTTCTATAAGTTCTCCTTCACATAAAACAAAACATTGTCATTTCTATTTCCGCCAGGGTAGGTTTTGCCAGTTGCGAAAAATTCATTTAGGATGATCTGTGTGTGCGTGTCAGAGAGAACAATCTTTTGGAGGACGAAAAAGTACTTTCTTTTAATTACTGGAAATTTTTTGCAAAAAAGTGGCTGTTGGTACGAGTGCTTGGGCCAATGTTCTATAATGTGCGGTTTTACCAAACGTGATTTTACAGCTTCGGCTCGAATTATTTTTTTCCTTTTCGCATCAAGGACTGCCAAGTTAAAGGCTTTTGCGCAACCGGCATGCTTTGCGATTATATTTTCAAAAACGGCCTAATATCGTACTGCATGAAAATACAAAACACAGTTAATTTCTCAAGACAGTTGCCGCTAAGCATGCTAGTTGCGCAAGAGCCTTTAATGTGAAATGCTATGATAACTCTTCGTGGTACTTCATATAGAATTCAGATGCCACCAGTCACGTGGTTTTATTAAACATTCGAATTCTGTATTGTCCATACTGTTTGATTGGCAATTAAAATCATATTATTGCGACTCGATAATTACGCTTCTCTCTTACAGTTCAAACAGAGGCACAAGAAAATGCAAACGAGGACTGTGTACACAGAAGGCCAGCTGAGACGCAAGAGGTTTGTTTTTTAAATCAATTTTCAGGAGGTTACGACAGAAAATTTACTTAAAATTATTTAAACTGGGCTTCCTTGAGCTCATTTTGTTTGTAGAGGCGAGCCATGATTTACTGGCGTACGAAGCAAAATCACAGAAGCGGGGGGAGGGATGAAGAGCTAGGTGGCTTGGCCCCACATTATTTTTAAAAATTGAGCTCCTATCAATTCCCCCAAAAAACAAACTTTTAAGCCCCCCTCCCATCAATATTTTACCCCGCGATACCTGGTCATATCTACAAATTTCCAAAGACCCGTTTATTCGTAGTGGCATGATCTTGTCCATTTTATTAAATTGGATCTAAAGTTCTGTTCGATGGTCAACAATTGTCGAGCAGCAATTAATATTTTAAAAAAATGTTTTTGAAAATGAGATGAGAGGTCTTGAGAACATGGATATAAAACCGTTTCATTTTGGTTGGGGGTCCTTAGTTATCAAACTAAATTGTCTTAAACTGCATTAAGCCACTAGCTTTCTACCAAAACTTTTTATAATCAAAATTTGATGGCCGATCAAACAATCTCATATATCAGGTTTCCTGACATACTTCTTAATTTTAAAATGCCACCGTCGAACCTTCGTGCAGATGCGTGTTTAATTCCACGCGGAATTAAATTAGCCGTGAAAACTGATATTTTACAAATACCCCGGTAGACTTTTCGTGAGAAATTTTGCAATCCCAGCTTTGGGGGGTCAATTAATCTCCCTTTTGGAACCCGATAGATTTATAGTAACCAACACAGATTAAAAAGGTATTAAAAAAATCCTTTGTTATATATTCCTTGTCTCTTTTCCGTATTCTATTAGTAATCGGATAAACCATGCTTAGAAACAGGGGGTTATGTAAGTCACCGTGCTTAGAAACAGGGGGCTGTGTAGAGTAAAACAGTCACCGAATGTCGTAGCCATAGAAACCGAGCTGGTTCATAGATATTTGAAATTTGTCGCCAGAGTTATTTTAATTCTTAAAAAACACTTAGCCCACGAGACATGATATGGTTGCTTGCTGATCTCGATTTGTAAGAAAAATGATCACCAATTTTTATTAAAAAACCTGTTCAGAAGTTAGACTTAACAAGGGGGATTCCACTATAAGCATAAAAGCGGGTTATGTCGAAGGAATTGGCCGTTAAGAGGCGTAGCCAGAGGAGTGGCGTAGGGCGTCCCCCTCCAACTAAGGGTTTATTGTCAAAAACAAAGTAACCTCTAGATTCTAATTCTGTCGTCCGCCTAGCTACCCCAGCACCCTTACCCCTCCCCCTCCCCCGATTATGATTTTCCTCGATCAATTTCCGATAATCGAATGTTGTTTCTTTGCCAAATATTTGTTTGTCGTTCAACTCGTGTTATGATTCTCGTGTGACGTCATAGTTCCCAGACTCCCCCCGTCTGTCTAACGTAACGTGACACGGGGACTGTAAACAACGGATGTTCATTTTCCCTGTCTGATGCACCTGTTAAACGCGACGATTTGCTAAAACTTTCATTATGTTGCGAACAGTTTTCAAATGAGATGAAGGAAAACTCAATAATCGTTCTTTGCGCCCAACGAAAGGTTTGATATGCTTTCTATTTATCACAAAATTGGAAATCTTTTTCGAAATCAGATTTTTGTTTAGCGAAATTTTGCTTATTAATCCGGGAAACCTTTGCTCGTTTACTCTGCAAGATAGGTATTTTGGTTAATCGTGTAGTTTTGTCTAGCTTTTGAGCTTGAACTCGTGCAGCGAATGCAAAATATTTTTGTGAGTTTTCCATTGTTTCTACTCATTAAAATGTGTTTTGTAAGCAAGCTCAAGTATCGCGCGATTAAGTTTTATTCAACCTTGAAATTGTAGTGCAGTCTAGGCTGGTTATTAAACTATGTTTTCCCATGGTTACTATCTACCATACTCTCCTTACAACTGCTATCATCAGGAACTTCAGAACTTAATGTTTTGTTTTGACCCAAAAACACCATGCTAACTCTTTGCTATTTATAAAAGTATGTTATGTTTTGCTTAAGGCAATATTATCAACCATACTCTCCTTGAAACTCTCATTAACCAAAGATACCTATAAACTAAACATTGCTGTTCCCTCTAACACCATTTCTACGCTTCGTTACTCCTCAAACTGTTTTGATTTTTTTTCAAAAATGTACTTATAATAAACTACACTCCCTTTACATCCATATGCTTATTTTTTGTTAATGAAACTGTGTTTGTTTTGCTTTTGCTTGTAAAACTGCGTTTTATTGTTGAACTCACCGTATGCATTTTATGTTATTTGACGATAAGAACTGCCCCAAGGCCATTTCGCAATTTTGCATGCCATTCGGGATGACGTCCCCCGTAAACCCCTTCCCCTAAAGCAACTTAAGCAACATAAGAACCATATCAACTTGAGAACTGATGTACAAGGCTGTCATTTTACATGGTAAAAAGAGGGGGTTTAATCGAGGTATTACACCGACAACCCTTTTCTCCTCGCTCCCCCGAACCCCCTTATTCATTAGTGGAAGCGTCCGAATCAAATTTCGAAGCTCGAAATATCCTGGTAATCTACAATATCTTCACTTCAGAAAAAGTCGATGCCCCCGTTTATCAAGCCCCATGTTAATTAAAGTTTGGATTTGGCCATGACTTCTGCAAGCAACAACACAAACCAACCACCCCCTCCCCTCTCCCTCTCCTTTCTCCTATCCCTCTCCTTTCCCCTCTCCCTCTCCTTTCTCCTATCCCTCTCCTTTCCCCTATCCCTCTCCTTTCCCCTATCCCTCTCCTTTCCCCTATCCCTCTCCCTCCCCCTCCTCCTCCCTCCCCTCCTCCCCTCCCCTCCCCTCCCCTTAATAGCAACCCGGTATAAACCCTTCTCTCGTATTAGATCGGATTTCAGTTGCCTTCCATAGTCTCATCCTTTCGCCCTCTCTTCCATAGGAAATAGGCACCTTACATCGAGAACGAGACAAACTGCGGAGCAAGCTAAGGAAAGCTGAGCAGGAGCTAGAGGAATTGAAAGCTGCGAATATTACCGTTAGGGAGGAGCGTGAACAGCTTCGAAAGAAGGTAGTTTGAAATTTAACAGAAATTTGTTATTTGCAAAAGTGATTGTATGTTAAAGGACAAAGTATTGATTCTATGCTTTTATGTATTTTATACGCTTCCTTTCCCATTTAAAACACAGTCTTTTTCTTTACCCACCCTAATCCACTTTCAATAACGGCTCCGTTTTAAACCCAAGGCCCTAGCTGTTAGCCCCTTCTGCAAAACTGCCTTTTTTATACTTTACCTAAATTGCCTCTAAACCTTCCCAAGTAATGGCCCTCTTATATATGTCCTAAACCCATTTTCAGTCTGGAATGGCTTTTGCCTAAAGTTTCCTTTGAATTATCTCTCCATAGATACGCTCACTGCAAGATGCCTTGGAAAGACGCAAAAGTGCCAGCCAGTCCCCTATCCCTTGCCCCTCTCCCACCCCTTCAGCTGGAAGCAATCGTACCAACTCGCTCCCAAGACAACCTCACATGCAGAGCGCAGAATCGAGGCGAACCTCAATTCAAACACAACCATCCGTACATAACTCGAGTTCGTCACCTTTCACCCCTGTTCAGTCAATGAAATTCTCGGGAAGTCCTGCGTCTACGCTGCAGCGGCAAAAGAATAACGCGGGACCGTCAAGCGATTTAGGGTCATCTGTAGGTGATGATATTAAGTCAACGGATTTTACTGATACACTGGTGAGTGACTCTAGTAGCCTGACTATGGAATGACTAAAAATTGCCTGATTATGGAATGACGAATTATTGGTCGTTCCGTCATGTGTCAATCATGTCATGTCTTATCATTTCATGTTGGTCTGATATGCGTTGTTGTGCTATTGGCTTCCAAGTCATTTTGTATCATGTTATATCGTACCATTTCTGTTGTGTCATGTCAGGTTATGTCATGTCATTTTCTGTCAATGTCATGCCATGTCATTTGCTGTCAATGTCATGTCATGTCATGTCATTTTCTGTCAAAGTCATATCATTTATCATGTCATTCCATTTTGTCCCAATGTCACAAACCATTATATATGCTAATATACTTTGTCCCTTGACTTTGAGCTCTATTACCTCTTCTTAAGCTCAATGACCCTTTGCCTCTTATATTTCTAAACATTGCTTATTTTAAATTGACTGTCTTTTGTACTTTTTCACCCATCCAGGAATATTTCGTTGTTAAGAGTAGAGGGTTTTCCTCACAACATTTTCAACTGACTGAGACCCCCTACCCCTACCCCCTTACTCCACTACCCTTACCATCCCTACCCCTTACCCCTCCCCTTACTTCCCTACCTGCCTTATCCCCTCCCCCTTACTCTCCTACCCATTACTACCCTATACCCCCCTTACCCCCTTACTCCCTACCCCTTACAATCTCCCGTACCCTCTACTCTCCTACCTTACTCCCCGTTTACCCATTACTCCCCTACCCCCTTACTCCCTTACCCCACTTTACTCCCCCTACCCCTTACTCCCCTACCCTAAACTCCCTACCACCTTACTCCCCCTACCCCCCACATTTAAGCTTGTTCATTCAGCTGTATAACTTTATTCTTCTGTTTTTCAGACCCGCTGTTTACGAACCCGAATTCCGGAAACGCTTCTCAACTCTTTGATTACCTATAGGAGATTGGATCAGGTCCTTGAATCTCTTCACGGACATTATAGCGCAGAAATCCTCGAGAAAACGCGGGAACTCGAGCTTCAAGTTGAACATTTATCGAGCAAATTGTCGCATTTAAAATCGCAGAACGATCTTTTGCAGTTGTGTCTTGAAGAGAGTAAAGGAAATTGCGAGCGTTTGAGTTTGCTTGTCGCAAAATACGAAAGCAAAGATACGGCGTTAGTTTTGGCGTTACAGAACACGGATCAAATTGTCGAAGCTTACGAAGTTATGTTACAATTGCAAGAAAGCGAACAGGACTTACTTGTTGCGAGTTATCGAAGCAATATGCAGTCGTTTGCGACAGATACAATCAAATCTCTTACGAGCACCAACTCCTCGAAATCTAATGTTTCGGGCGCAAGTTCGCTAACTTCGAATTCTCATTACCAATTGACGTATGGGGATGACCTGCCCGATGATGATGAGGGAATCGCCATGTTCCAGACGTCACAGACAAAACGCAGGGATGCCGAATCACACGCGAAAAACTTACTGCAAAAACTTGATCGTAAATACGAGGCAGCGATAACAGGAAGTCCGTTTCTGAATTTCGATGAAAATTTCGATTTTAATAGCCGTACAAGCACGTTAAGTTCGGCAAATTCTTCAAATTTCGAAACACTGTCGAAAGAGGAGGAATTGCGGTTGAAAGAATACGTCCAATTGCTGAAAACCGAACGAAGCACTGTCGAAACAACGGTTGTCGAACTTGAAAGCGTAACGGACGTACTTGAGATTGTCGATGATTCAAATATCGAAACTGGCGATAAAGGAAGTCTTGATCTCGAAACTGCGGTGTTACTACAAGAATTACAGGCGTTGAAAGAGGAGCGAGCTGAGCTAAAGCATCGAATTTTTATGCTCGATAAAGAACGGAAAGCTCTTGAGTTGAAATTGAACAGTCGAGAAGCTCAAGAGCAAGGCTACATTGCACACATAGAATATTTGAAAAGTGAAGTGAAAGAACAGATGAAGAAACGAAAACAAATATTAAAGGAAGAGCGAAAACTTAGAGGATCGACCCAGGTAAACTTTACAATCCGTAGTTTTTCCCTTCACTACTTTTGGTACTTTGAAATATTAATTAGAACACCTGAACATCTAATTAATTATAATATTATTTCTCAATCCCAGTGACCCCAAAACCGCCCGATTACCCCACAATGCTCTAGCCATCCTTACTTCTGTATCTGTCATTTCTTTAATCCTCTTTTTCTTATTGCCCCCTTCCCTTACCCCATACCAATGTCCCTAAATTGACCCGATTACCCCACAATGCTCTACCCATCCTTAATTCTGTATCTGTCCTTTCTTTTATCCTCTTTTTCTTATTGCCTCATTCTTCCCTTACCCCACCCCCTTTTTTTATCCCACATTATTTTTTGTTTTTATTTTCACCTTTCTTTTGTTGCCTCTTTCCCTCTTACCCCTTCTTCATCTTTGTCTACTCTTTTCTATTTACCACATTCTTTCTTTACTGTTCTCCCTTTTTCTCCACTTTTTCGCTTCCTTGGTTCAGCCCC